AAAAATGAGGGTACACTTGTAGTAAGTACATGGGGTACACGCACTGAAAATAAATGTGAAATACTGCAACTGTATTAGGTTAGGAATATTATATTAATAATAACGCTGGATCAAGTACTAAAGCAAGATATAAAGCATAATATTGTTGATAACTGTTTTAACAAAAATTTCACTATTTGAAACGTAAAATACAATTAGGCCAATGTTGTATTGATCGACAATTACTTAGAATTACCTAAACATACCTATTGTATTAAATCGTGAAATGTTGAAAGTAACTATATACAAAGTGTGTATTTTTTTAAATCCGAAAAGTGCCTTTTACATTTTGCATAATATACTGTTGTTCCATTTAAAATAATCGGCAGTGTTTCACAAAAATTTAACATTTCTGTTAAATTTGCTTTACGTCCACTCATTTTATGTTTATGTAAAAACAGCCAAACAGAAAAAGTTGAGTGATGAATTGAGTACAGCACAAAATAGATCATACGTAAATGTAACGCAAATATAATATAGGTTAGATTAAACTGAAATTAGAGCGCAAACTCCGCTTTGTATACATTGTCTACATAGTCTACGTTGTTTACATAGTCTACGCGAAGTCTACACGTAGACGTCGACAATTAAAGTTGACGCGTAAACGCCCATCCCTGCTCGGAGACCGTTGCCGTCATGATATTCGTGTTCAGCGACACCAAAAACCCCCGAGTAACAAAATTGAACTAATTTCCATCAATATTTTCCAAGTTATAAATTTTTCATTTTTTAAATCTTCGAGATGCAATTTTAAAAATGCATTTTTCTTATGCACCGATGCAATTTTCATTTCTCATTGATCACATAGGGTCACAAACTTTCTCGACGCTCTAACGAATCGAATGCAAAAAACTGCATCACGATCCATCTTACTGCACAGATTTCGGAGGTAAGGCCGTTTTTAGTGCTTTATTTCCTCGACTAGATACTCAATTAAATAGAAAAAACAATAAAAATATAACAAAGTAATAATTACAGACAATTGTGTTGCAACTCGTTGCATTGAATCCAGCAGTAAATAGTGGTATTTTAATCCAAAATCGTTATTTTTTGAAACGTCTATATCTACCGGCAATAATTTAAAGAAGTTCTGAGTGAACATATTTCATTACGCTTGTTGGTAGAGTCAAAAGAACCCGTGCCTCCTAATGTTTAACAGAGACATATAGCACCTGCTGCATATAAATAGGGCTTCTTGGAGAATGTGGGGCACACAAAAGGACAAACACTGGGTAACTAGCACTGTGGAGAGATAAACGGCGGTTTGACTGTATTCTCTAGGGGCACAATAGGGTAAACATCATCAATTATGTACCGTAACCGTAGGATGACAGATTAATAAGTAATGTCTGGCAAGGCAAGATGACTGCGGTGCACTTGATTACGTTGTCCTCCTGCAAAGCTTATAATATGTACAGATTAATCTAGTTGAATAACAAAATAAAAAAATGTACAAGGCTATCTAATAAGATGGATGTTTTCAAATTAGAGATCAAAGGGTTTAAAATGGAAATGTTAAATACAGAAGCTGTATATATTGATTACAGTAATAGATGTCCCAAAAGAAATGCAGGATTTCACATGGGGAAAAAAGATTTAATTAATTAAAAAGTTTTTACGAGTTTTAAAAGGGTAGACATTAAATATGAAAGAGGATATGGGACAGATGTTCTCCATGACTCATTTGGCATAGTATCATGCTTTAGCATACCTGCGGCTGAATTTCGTTGATTGTCTTCAACCGATCCTGTTTTGTTCAAACGTGGAAATTAATCTTTTCAAATTTGGTTCATTCTGAGCGTTCCTTCTACCGAAAATTCCACGTAATTTGCGCACAGTCTCAACTACATACTCTCCCTACTTGTAATTAATTTTCACAATCTTCTCTCGCACATCCGTTGCACTGTTTTTAGTATGTAAAAATATGTAAAAATCTCCTTTAAAATAATTATTTTTTCTTTTAATTTGCTAATTTTTTTCATCGATCAATCGGTGGCCGAGCGATTCCAGGCGTTTTTTTACATATTAAGGCAAAGTAAATATGTGTTTCCAATATTTTGTTAGCTATATCAAATTATTATTTCTCATAAAAATATAAAAAATTTTAATTAATTTTAAATTGTTGCAAAAATTTGTTTGTATAAAATTAGTAATAAATATAATAAAACAACTATATATTAAAATTTCAAGAAGTTAAAATTGTAATTTTATCGACCGCATTATTTTTATTAGTATTTTTTAGTTTTGAGAATTTTGGAATAAATTCAAATGCTTTTTATTCTTTTTTAAATCTTTTAACAATAAATAATAATTTGAAAATAATTTTTACATTTAAATCGTAATTAAATAGCTAATAAAATATTGGAAAAACATATTTACTTTGCCTTAATATTTAAAAAAAAATAACTTTTTAAACGAATGATAGCTTCATTTATTTATTTTATAATAGTGAAATAATTCCGAAATTGAAATTTTAATTAATATTTCGTTTAACAATAGTCTTTGTGACATTTTTGTAAATTAAAAAAAAATTATTATAAAAGATGCATTTTTTCTGGCGTTCAGAGCTATTCTATGAATTCGTAAATATGCCCATTGTTATTTTTTCGTCGAACTACCCCAGTTTTAAAAAAAAATAAGTTTCTACGTTGAATAGAAGCCGAGATATTGCAAAATTTACAGCGCGCACCTATTTGAACTTTGGATTTAGCGAGTACCTTCTCTTTAAAGGGCTCGTGAGTCGTTAATTTTCCACATTTTTCAATGCAATTCACGGGAAATCGTAGTTTACGTCCTAAACTTTATTTTGCGAAAAATTCAAGTCTTAATATTTATAAACAATTGCGCTACGATTTAAAAAAAAATCTTATCTTGGCTACTGTTGGTCATAGAGGGTACTTTTTTATTTTAAAATTGTATTTTTTGCCAGCTATCCATTACACCTATTTTCGGTGAGATAGCATAAATAGCAACAATGTTATTCAAATTGTTTATAAGCGAAAAACGCACGGTTTTTTAATGCACAATTTGAGAATGTTAATGTCAAGAAAACGGTGATATTTTTAATATGTCCCTTAATTGCGTCTTTAAGATTACAATGACGCTTTCAGAATTATGTTTGGTTGAAAATTAACGCCTGTACAGAGGCTTAAAGTTCATAACTTTTGGAGCCTCCGCTATAAACAAATAGAATTGTGCGAAAACTATTGCACCTACAGCGCCCACTTTTGGCACACTTTTGAAGTATGACAAAACCCTCAACTTGTCATCGGTTTTATAAAATTTTAACAATAAATGCGATAGTTATAAACAAATTAAATAATGGGCACTTTTCTTGTTTTTTTGCAATAACTTTTTTGTTTATTAACCGATTTTAATTTAACTAGTCTCATTTTGTAGATAATAGATTTTACTCCCTATAAGCTGTCTCAGAGTCACTTTTCGCTAAAATTGATGGTTTTCCCTGCAAAGTGAAAAAACTGTTTTCCTCACTTATTTGTTTAAATAGAAAAGTTAGCTAATAAAAGTTTTTGACTCACGAGACGAGAGATGTCTTGTATTATGTTCCTTTAGACAATTTTACAATAATCTCGCGGACAGGACTTTTTTCGAGTAAAAATTTAATTTTCTTGGTCTATATTATAGACCCATTGCTCATAGGAGAAAATGCACTTAAATAATTTTTTTTATTGCATTGCCCATGGTACGTTATTCAGGAACGCCCTATATATCGCAGGTATAAAAAGGGACGAATATCGGAAATATAAGACATTGTAAATATTGCGTTTCACCGTCATTACCGATTTAATTCAGTATTTTAAAACTTACTATAGTAACTGCATAAGCCCTCTAAGCCCTCGGCAACTTCTCAAATACTTGAACTTTTAACTAACCAGAAATTTTACGCGAAGGAGTGACACCTTCATCCTGCGTCAAATGAGTATCTAAAATGACGCGATAGGGTCACATAAAAGCTTTCCGTGTGATGGAAAAGTAAACATGGGCCAATTTAATCCATCCCCTTTGGATGATCCGTCTGGTGAAAAATCGACACATTTTTCCTTTTAAAAAAATACGGACTGATATTTGCAGTGCAATAGAAACGGAAACGGTCTTTTTATCCGGAAAATTTCTACAATATGGTGCAGATTATTGCTTTCAAGGGAAGGTATACAGGGTGGGGATCGCGATATGATACGCCATATTCTATAAATAATTTGTGTTAGAGGTAACAAGTTAAATGACTCAGTTAAAATGCGTAATTATGTAATTATTGCATACATTTTCACTTACTATTGAACATTCTTATAATTTTTTAAAACTGATTAATTTCAGCGAAATATAATATCGATTGTATAAATTCTCTAAAAACCTAATATTAGAGCACTTTTAAATAAAATGTCGTTAATACGAACTACTCTGCGGACTACTGATCCTTCCCAACATTGAATTGCATAAAGGCACAAAGCAATGCTTTCTTCCTGTAGGCATTGGGTAGCGATAAATTTTAATATATGACATACACTTTATAGGTTATATTAGCCTATGGCATAGTAATGAACTAATAAGTTTGAAACGGGTCTACGACTTGTGATTCTGCTGACGAATAATCTTGGTTGTTTACCCCAATATCTATTGGGGACGTAATTAAATGCTGCACGAAGCACGTAGCTCGCAGAGAAATTATTGTTTTGCACAATATCACCAGTTAAAAAGTTTACTTCGCCTAGTGCCACACATGCTTAAATAGTACCTACAGATTAGTAGGTCACTCTTTGCCAGTAGATCAAAGCAAAAGTTTCTAGAAGTCGGCACTGAGTAGCAATGGCATTTAAGATATGACATACTTTGTAGGTTATATCTTACCCACAAGCACAAATTATAATTTTTAAATATTATTTTGTTTTCTCGTAATAAACCTTTTAACAAATAAGAAAAAAATGAAGTTTTTAACTCATTACCTTGTTATTTTTACGACACCATTGCACCACTCTGATGAACTTGAAAATATCTTCTATCGAAGGCGCTTGACATTCCGTGACGGGAATGAAAGTCCATTCAAATTTTGAATTTGCCAGTGGCGGTACCTTCTCTGGGCAAAGTGTTACTATGTGCCTTATGCCTGTAATAAGGAAAACAACTTTAACTTAAATTGTAACATTTTTTAGAAACATAAGCAATTCTGAAAGAAACGTTATAAGTACCTACATATTATAAAATATAATAATATCACTTATATTTTATAGAAGATGTGGACTAAAAAGAACATAGCGACGCTTATTATTGATCTGCAATTTTTCAGTTCAAAACTTCCTATAGAGTATTTCCAGAATTAAATAAACAATTATATATTGTTTAAAAACACTCCGTGTTCTTTCTGCATATGTCAAAAGTGTTTTTTGTAATAAAGGTTTCGAATTTGTTTTATTATTACATTCAATTTCAGTTTTATACACTTTTTGACGAGTTTTAAAATAGTGATAGAATAGTGTCGATAGTGATTATAGCAGGCTTCATGTAGAGCTAAAATGATGTGAAAGTATAGTTTTCTATGCCTTATATAGCGCACACCGCAACGTATAACAATATATCTGCTTTAAACCAAAATGAAACTAAAAGAAATGGTATTAATGGTAACAATGTTTGAGAAGCGCGAAGCAAAAAACAATATATTTTCAAATTATATCGTTTATTATTGCCATATTATTATTTACCAGTGAATATCTTTATATCGAAGACTAGTTAGTTATTTATATGTCTACTTAGTTCCCAAAATTTGGGAGTATTACATCAAAATATTCTGTAGATTATTATGATTAATGATTTGGTAAACGCTCAGACTTTTGCACGAAGTATGTGAGAAGTAAAACTGTTATCAATAGTGTCTCGAAGTAGTTAGACGTAAACGATAGATTTGAGGATTAAACAAAATTAGTTGTCTCTATGCAATAATTCAGTACCGCAGTTTAAGTACGGAAAATAACACATGTGCTCTGATGGCTTTGTGATTTGAAAATCAGATTGGATAAAGATGATGTAGTAATGACAGTTGTGGGATTGAAAGACATAACATTTTTTTTTCATCAGTGAATAAATAGTCGCGTAAAATGTAAAACGGCAAGTGGAACCCAATAACCAAACTTTATTTTTTTTAACTTTATAATTAATTTTATACTATTAGTATTGGTCCTTGTTTCAATCAATGTACTGCCCTCTCATATTCACACAATTTGCTTTGATGTCATCAATATTTTGAAAACGGCGTCCCCTCACCACAGATTTTAATTTTGGAAATAAGAAAAAGTCGCAAAGAACCAGGTCTGGAGAGTACAGAGGGTGAGGGAGGAAGTAATCTGATTTTTGGCACAAAACTGACGAACTGACAATGCTGAATGTGCGGGCGCATTGTTATCGTGCAAGAACCATGTAGACAAGGCGAAAACCTCGCATTCGTGGGAGAAATTTTCCGACTCGATTTTTTTTGCATATTCAGATTTGTGAGATGTTCCTTAACATGAATCAAGGTGATGCCAGCCGGAAACCTGGTGGTCATTTGTTTAAACAAACTTTTGCCAGGTACCTAAATTAAAGTTTAAATATCCCCCTACAAGATGCTGAAGAGTTTTTGGGACTCTCATTATTTTAATGCCTTGTTTTTTATTTGTGAATAATGCGCTATGAGCTTTACAAACGTAGGTACATATGAAAAAGTTTCATTTTTCCTCAATATCAATATTTGGATTTCACAGCTTTTGGTTATCAAAATGAAACAGGTGAATTATTACTTAAATTTATTACCAAAGATCCATTACGCTTGATTAACAATTAAAAAACAATGTTTTAAAACAATGCGAGTCCAAAAAACTCTTCAGCAACTTGTAGGGTGATGTTTAAACTTTAATTTAGATACCTGGCAACATCAAAAATAACAATTTTTACCCGGAAATCGGCCGTTGCAAATCGTCACTTTCGCATTTTTAGCAACTTAAATTGTTTATAATTTTAAAACTATCAATTTTAGAGGCATAGTGCATAGGAACATTTTTGTTTACAATGTAACAAAAAACCTAAAAAAATGAGTGAAAAAAACCAATTTTTACAATTTGTTTAGAAAAGTTTGTTTAAACAAATGGGCACCAGATTTCCGGCCGGCATCATCTTGATTCATGTTAAGGAACATTTCACGAATCTGAATATGCAAAAAAATCGAGTCGGAAAATTTATCCCACGAATGCGAGATTTTCGCCTTGTCTAATGAGTTTGTCTCTGATCTACGGATTATGAAAATTTTCTTAATAAACTTTTAGTTAGCTAGGCTTATTTACGAAGGAACTACTTTCTCTAAAATAAAATTGTAATTTCATAATCACTGACGTAGAAGTGGGGCTATTTTTATAAATAAAGAAATATAAAACAAGATTTTTTTAATCATTTTGTATAATTTTTCGCACTATCAGTATTTGTCTACAAATAAAATCTTTTTAGTGGAAAATATGGTTTTCAATGCTGTTAAAAAACTAGACATTAATTATTACAATATTTAGTTACCTAAATTATTTTTTAATTAACTAACATATACCCTAACTTTTTTTGAACGGAGACTCTTTTGTTTCATATAAAAAATTAGAGCTTTTGGACAGTTTTTCAATGAAAGTGTACCTTTGTGTTATGTCAGTAGGTTGCATAGTGTCTGAATAAATTTAATTTCAAGGGGAAAAAATGTAGAACTAAAATTGTAAATATTCCTTTAAGAAAACAACTGATTATGTTTTTAATTAAAATTGTAGATATTTTCAAAACTGACTCTTAAAAATAATGATTTGTTGATTTATAAACAATCATAATTGACGTTTTATCAATTCAATAAAAACCTCGATAAAGACACGTGGATACATCCACAGACAAAATAGCTATCGCCACAGACCGCTCCTGGAATAGGCCAGCAGTTTTAAATTTCCGAATTGCCGGTAGAGTACACCACCAGCAGAATTTTAGGAAGAATCAACTACAGCGGCCCGTATACCTAAGCGTATCCTAGCAACATATAAACAAGACTTTGGTAATGTTGCCAGGCGTACTTACGGATTTCTTTTGTACACTTTTTTATCAATATCTGTTTTTTGCGTTACTGTATTTACTTCAATGTATGATGTAGGTATTGATAAAAATGTTTTTAAAGAATCAACGAATATCTATGTATGTATCATATGATATTCTGCAGTGGTGTTACAATTAAGTTCTTTAATCATAATTTCCAAATAAACAAAATTCGTAATACTATTTTAAACAGCTTATAATATAATATTTTTAATATTTGATGATGACCATATATTTATTTAATATACAAGGTGGGTTATTAGTACGTCGCGGAATGTAGGTACAGGTTTTTTTTTTTGTATTTTGTCATCCACTTATAGGTTTAATAATTAAAGATAGAAAGAAACTTTAAATACAAATGTACTTTTCCTTTATTTCATTTGACATCAAAATTTACTGGCATAAAATATATATGTTTAAAATAAAAAAAATCATTAAAAAAAATTAAAATTCATCCTTATGAAAATAACAAACAACGCTTTTTATAACTAACCTTTACAACAACATAAGGAGAATAACTAAAAATGAAATAACATTAATATACCTACAATTTTTACAAATCAACATGCAAGTGATTGTGATGATACAGTTGTAAATATGTTTCAATTTACTATTAATTGCTTCAAAAACAAATTCAAAATTATCAAACATTTCGTCCTGTATTTTTTTTTCAATACTTGCAAATTTTCAGGTAAAAAAAAATATGTCTAAAGGACTGACATGAAATCGGGGCTGTTTTCTGGCCACCTAAGGTTTCTAATAATATTTTGTAGTGTTCGTTGACGGGATTCTTCCTCCAAAATAAATTTGTCAATATTCCTGAAGAACTTTTGCACATTATTGTTATTTGAAAAATACAGTTAATTATGTTTTATTTTTCGTCATCAGAATAACCCATTGTAATTTTTTTAATTTTTTAAATTAAAATGGGTTATTCTAATAATGATAAATCCCATGTATTTTTAAAAGAAGGTTCGTTTCTGTCGTTTTTGTCTGATTGTGTGCGAGAGAGATAGAGTTATAGTGTGCGATAGAGATAGAGTGACTCTGTCCTCATAGAGAGCTTATCTCTCTCTCTCTCTCTCCCTGCTGCCTTCAGGAGTCTCCCCAGCAATTTCAGGACACCTAGGGAGGGAACGTGGGGTAGAGCGCGTGGCCTTGTTAAGCCTTCGTTATCGATCTATGATGTCACACAGTATAAGAAAAAAAAATGGTTTTTGCTCGTAACTCGGAAATGGCTGGAAATATAAACAAATTTCCCCTTGGTTCTGAGTAGAGCACTCGGTGGGTGACGCAGAGCGGGGTGTCACAATATATGAAAGAAAAAAAAAAAGTATTTGCTTAGACTCTTAAGTATCAAAAAATCTCCCATGGTGAACAAATAAATCTCCCATGGTGAACGAGTGAAAAACGTCAAAACCCGCATGTCAAAAAAAAAAACGGGACCAACGGTGTGTGACGTCATAGGATAAAAAAGTGTTTATAACTCGGAAACGGTGCGTTGAATCGAAAAAATAATTGAAAAATGTCAACCCCTCCCTCCCGGGTTCTGTATGTTCCTTCTGCGTTGAATGCAAAAGGTCCGAAGTCCGTATGTCGAAAATAAATTCTGAAAACAAGAGGTATGTCATGTTATAGTAAAAAGGCCGTATAAATCGGAAACGGTGCGTTAAATCGAAAAAATAATTGAAAAAATCTCCCCACACTCCTGGTTCTGTATGACAGTTCTGCGTTGAATGGAAAAGGTCCGAAGTCCGTATGTGGAAAATAAATTTCGGAAAGAAGAGGTGTGTGAGGTGATACAGTAAAAAAGGTCTTATATTCGGAAACGGTGCGTTGAATTGAAAAAATAATTGAAAAAATCTCCCCACTACTCTGGTTGTGATTATCCGTTCTGCGTTGAATGGAAACGGTCCGGAGTCAATATGTTGAAAAAAAAAAAGTTAGTTAGTTAAAAATTGCAACAGCAGTAGCGAACGCATTATCTTATCTCCGTATTGATTGATGATTTGTTATTTTTTTTTTAAATAAATGTATTTAACTACTCCTTGAGGTTCCAGCAATTTTACATTGTGTTAATTTTTTTGAACACCTTGTGTAACAAATATGGGCTCTACCAATGACTTCCATAATATGCAACAATTGTGTCAATAAATAATTATTTACCTATCTAAAGAAATCAACAATAAGAGGCAGTACCCATCTAAGGATACACAATCTGTATAATGCATTTTTTTTAAACATAGGTTTTGATATCGTACCATATTGGAAGTCGACGCACAAATTTAAAAACATTAATTTCGAGTTTTTGAATTTTCCCATTCCAAGGTGATATAAAATAAATAATTAATTAGGTAAATTCATAGTTTTAATTCTAACTTGATTTATTTTATTTAACATTTAAGGCAAATGTGATTTCCAAACACAAGATAAGTTCCATATCTCTTTAATTACATAATTGAAAGCATTAAATTTATTTAGCAGTTATTATTTGGCAACAAAGCCACCGCTGGAACTGCCGCCTATTAGCAAGTAGAAGAGTTACCACGCTAAATTTTATAGCTGGAAGCCGGCTAAGGAGACCCTGCTTCCATTTCGGGTTGCCAATTTCCAGCATTTAAGTAGCAGTCTGTAGCGATACGCTATATTGTCTGTGATACATCTTACATAAAAATTCTATAAAAAACGAAACGGCACAAATATCTCCAATACCGTTAGAGATACGGATAGGGAACCTGTACACAGTTTGAAAGAGTTTTCTAACATCCAAAGTAAAAATATACTGGGTGTCCCATTTAAAATAACCAAGTTATTGCTGTTTAAAGTATTCAGCAGTTTTTTTGAACACTCTGTACAATGCTAAGTGACGACAAATATAATAATTTATAACTTCAAGAACCTAAAATACACTCTCCAAAGCTGCTCCCTTAAAATTATTTTTTTATTGCAAATAATATTAAATTTCTACGCTAAGCCTACATTTGCACTAAAATTGAAATATCTCACAAACAATAAGTCCTAGGTATGCTTTCAAAAATGTAGTAAAATACAGGGTGTTCCATTTACAAATACATAACGTTGATATGGTACGCTTTTCCAGGATTCCCTGTATATTTCAAAATATTTTTAAAACGTGATCAACCTACACGTAAACTGTGGGAATATTGATTCTAGATATGTAAAATTCTATAAGATATAATAATAAAACGTGACATATAAAAAGATTTCGTCAAATCACTTCCATGTTTTTTATGTCTCGTGTCTTTCGTCCCGCGCTCAAAGCCTTTGGTAGACAATCGCAAAGACATAAATACTTAAACATAAATATATATTTTTGGCACAACTTTTCAAATGTAAATACTTGTAAGTGTACCTAAGCCGTCCGGAATTATTTGTAATATATATTCTTTAGTACCTCCTTCCCAAAGAAATTCCAAATTGCCTCTTGTTTGCGGCCACGCGAACGCCGCCAGTTTGTTCTCCTCCACCCACGTGAAGAACCAGGGAGGATAGAGGGCGTCCTCGTCCCCTTCCAGCATCAACCTGTAAATGTATAAATATAGGAAAGAATACAAATACCACTCCTTTTAGATAAATAATGCAATTTTCCTGGGTGACTTGCGAGTAACAAAAGAAGTATATTGGGGGATGTTTGTTTTTGTTTTCGTCCATCTTATTTTCTTGTAATACTTCGTCATCTTCTTAAGTTAACTTTATTTTTGTAGACATTGCTTACATTGTTACGACGATGATGAAGAATTTGACTCAAATTGATGTAAATATAAAATAAATAAGACTTTCATAAGTAGAGAGCGGACAATGTGTGACTTTAACCCGAAGAATAGGTCAAATTTTGGTAGAGATGTGTACGCGTTCAAAAATGTATTGTGTATAAACTATGCAAAATATAATTATTATGTATAGCAAATATATCGTATTATCCTCGCGAAGATTTGTACCCTTTATTTAAAATCCATAAATCATGTGAACAGGTTAAATAACGAGAAAATAATTAAGTTAATTTAGTTCTAAAGAAATGAAATGACACTCGCGCCCATCTCTAGTCCATCCGTCGACATCGGTTGCGTTTATCGAATTCCTATTGGTCAGAATTCAAACTGCAGCCCTGTTATGAATGGAGCGTGAGTTGGACTATTCTATCATGTGCGTCGCCTGAGGATATTCGTTACATTGACTCCTAATTTCCAATTAAAAGAACGACACTATTTTTAACCGAACTTTATTTAATAAATATGTAGTATACAATTTCTGATTTTCTAAATATTTTATAACGCCTAAAAATGTAT